ATATAATATACACAAAATAGATCAAATTCAAAATTGTTATCATATACTGATATATACATATATTTTACATAATTAGTTTCTTACTATTGAAAATCGTGTTTTCAAATACCTTGAACGTACAACCATTTTTTCTCATTTTAGCCTTTGTTTTTATATTCAGGAACAAATCTTCTATTCACTGCTGTCCACGAATTGGGTCACTCACTTGGTTTGGAACACTCTGACGTCAGAGGATCGGTCATGTATCCATGGTACTATGGTTATAGAAAAAATCTTGCACTTCAACCTGACGACATCGCTGGGATCCAAGCCATATATGGTAGTACCAAGATGTTTTGAAAATGTTCTTATTTTTAAGATTATTTTACAAGTAATAATAGTAACAATAGCAAAGATAATGGTAAAACAGAAATAATGATTTCCTGGTACAACAGTATTAGTTAGAGGCGGTAATAGACTGTAGCAATACTAAGGACAATCCAGTACACGGTACCTTTTTTTTATCAGTGGCAATTCTTGGAAGATTCACACAAGACCAAACGCTTAAACTTCTATTCCAAAAGCGTGTGTGCTAAAGTAATTTGTATTTCAGCCGTCCAACTGCGACACAAAATGCAGCGATCGAATGTATAAATTCGAAGCAAAGAACCATAAGAATACCAGTAAATAGCCTTATGAAAGGTACAATATCATTAACAGGATTGTGAGGTGAACAAGAAGGAAGATGTGATTTTGCCGATGTCTGCACGTTTTTAATTTATGTTATTCTATACCCTCTGGCCTGCAACTCAGAGTTAGTTCCATTACCTTTACCTTATTATCGTTTGTACTTCACACCAATTATTTAAAAAAAAATGAGGTGCATGGCCTAATAGCAAATATAAACAATGGTGATTTCGTGTCTCGTTGCATTGTTTGCCAAATCTCCTAGTCCTAATTTAAGACTGATGAGAAAATGGAATTTAATATCAGACTTTAACTTATTTTCCAATTTAGGTCATACCATTTGTAGTTTCTTAATGACAATAGTGCCTTATTTATTCATGGCATATCATTTCCAAAAAAAAAAAAAAAAAAAAAAAAAACTCCCAAAAATTATCTTTAAACCTACAACAACTTATATTATAATTTTGTGAACTTACTTGAAATTCATGTATAACTTATTAGTTTAATTAGTAAAAACAAATGTGTACATTACCTAGACTAATGACTCAAGATTTACTTTATCTCATTTGGAATTTAGATTAAAGTAGTTCAGTAGGTAGACATTTGCATTTGTATTGCAGGCTCAAAAGAAAGCCCGAAAACAGTAGCGCCACCAACAACAGAAACTCCTGAATATTGGACGCCCCCTCCGACATGGAGTGACGAAGACGCTGCCAACTTTCCGTGGCCGAATGACCCAAAGTGTGACATCACATTCAATGGTATTATAAAGCTTAGATCCCAAATCTATGCCTTCGAGGTAATCACATTTGTTTATGTATTGCGTGCATTTATTTCGTTTATGTTTTTATTTCCGTTAACTAATTACTTAACTTAATACTAATGCTGACGTCCTTCGAATTGGAAAGATTCGAGTCGTTGGACTATTTGCCTTTATGTAGTCTATGTTGCTTTTTGTAAAGATGGTAGATATTGAGTGGTACTACTAGGCCTAGACTACTACTACCTTAATAGTAGTAATTTCTTTTTCTATATTTCATTTACTAACCACTTGTAATGTACAATCAGAAATGTAAATGGTGGACTGACCATATAAGAGCAGAGATCGAAACATTTATGGCTAAACTTAAATTTGTATGTACTACAAATACCGCGCACAGGAATAATTAAATAAGCAAATAAATATGTTAATAAGTGAAAAGATATTAAACCAAGCGCATATAATGCATAGTAAATACCGTATATCTTATATTATATAGTTATCATTATTTTATTCATGTCAGGGGAACTCTTTCTGGCGTTGGCAATCACATGAAGGTGGCAGATATAGCATTCTGATATCAAATATGGCTGCGACTAGGTTTCTGAGAGGGTTGCCGGACAATGTCGACGCAGCATACTTCAACACACATACAGCTATTGTTCGTGTTTTCAAAGGTTCAATTGTTATCATCACATTATATGATATTATATTGTATTTGTATAGACCTACAGCCTTTATAATTTTTAAATTTAGTACGGTATCTACTAAACCTTTTGTACTTGATATCCTTTAGTCCTCTAATTTTGTTGAACAGGGTTGGCGCCAGGATTTGCCCGACGGGGGAAGGGGCCGATGCCCTGACGAGGTATCAAATTTCCCCAACGAAAGCAAAGTGGGCGTGGTCGAGGTTGGATTAAAAGGTTTCGAAAGTGGTCATTGGGGCGAAGCCCCCGAAAATGTTGACAACTTAGGGGTTTCAAAGGCTTTTTTAATCGAATTATAGTCTAATAATAATGTAGAAAATAAATAAAATGTTTTTTCTTCCCGACGAATTGTGCTTTTTCTCCCCGACGGGGGCCTTGCTCACCCCCGTCCCCCGTGCTGGCGCCACCCCTGATTTTGAAATACCTCGGATACTTCACCACAACCGTTGAGTCGTTCATGGGCTAATAATCATGGTTATACGGTGTTTTATAACTGCCTGCCATTGACATGGACTATCTGATTTATAGGTTATAGGTTTAACATCAAATTTCTGTTGGTACTACCAAGGAGGTTAAATAATTATTAACCTCATTGGTACTACACGGATCGAAACATAGTTTTGCTGATATCAGTTTAAACTACGAAAATATTTCTATTGATTAGGCTTATTAGACAAACTGTCCGCAAAATAATATACTAACGATTTTTAACCAAATTTGTGAGCTGTCGTGACAAAATAAGTATTGTTGTATTAAACAAAATGAGTTATTTGTATATTTAGATAGCTCTTGTTTTTTTTTCCCAAACTCAAATGTCTGAATAAAGAAAGTCGCCACTAAAGATAAATAACTGACAAACTTTGTGTTGGTTTTCCTATTAATTTTTTTAACTGGCTTTACAAAGTGTGCCTCAAAACACCTGACCTGGCGTACGTACACCAAACCTAATTTTGTCACGACATCTCCCACTTTTATTTTGATCCAACAACATTTCTTGTATTAATTTTCAATTGCTAAGCTAAAATATTACTGATATTGGAAGATATTCAAATATTGAATTTATTTGTAACATTATTGGCATAACACAAGCAATTTTCAATATGCAACATATTAAACACATTATAATAGTAACGTTAGCCTTACATTTCATACCTCAGATGAGGAATATTGGGATTATTCGATAGACGATCCTACCAGCAGCAATCCACAGAAGATTACAAACTTGAGCAAAAAATTACCTGCAAAGATCGACGCTGCTGTATTTTCAGACAGAGATGATAAAACATTCATGTTTAGGGGCAAGAATGTGTGGCGGTATGACGAAGGAACCAAGCAGGTCGATGGAGGCTACCCAAAGCCTATCGCAGTGGAATTTCCAGGAATAGGAGAAAGAGTCGATGCAGCTTTTCGTGGGGAGAATGACGGTATGTATGTTTACAGTGTGACTCAAGTCATATGCATGTATTTTTTAAGGAAGAAAAAATTTTATAAAATTGTATGCAATGGTTTTCAAAAGCAACAGTAGCAGTAACGTAGTTTACCTTTGGTAATCCTTTCTAAATTGATATTTTACTGTGATTTATTTTTTAATGAAATTTTGAATTGTCATATTATAATTTCGTATTTTTATTGGTGTATCTTTTTTATTCAGCTTTATGTGATGCTCTACGTAGACTACGTCTCATTATGAGGCTTAGGGAGTGGAGTTGTTTTGGTCGTGAGAAAAAAAAAATATTACCGTGACAGGAAATGAACCGAGGGCCCCGGGATTGGAAACATGCATCTTAAAATCCAAGCTATTCAACTGCACTCCAGTGATTCAGGGTCATGGAATTGTCTTATAATGCAATTTTGAACAAAATGGTTTTTATTGATATAGTATCATAATTTTGTATGAATATTTACAATTATTGGTTTTTCTGAAATATTCATTAACTATCTTCATTTTTTGCAAATTTAACTAACTTTGAATTTGTTGATTTGATTTTTCAGAGTCGATATATTTTTTGACAGATAGAGTGTTACGACAAGTTGACATCTCTCGCCATTTGTTGATGGCTGAGCCTGTGTTCTTTGCTGAAAAATTTCTCGGTTGTGAACGTTCTTAGGCAATGTAGAAAACAGATGTAATGTATTGTATTGCGTTGTTATATGCTGGCCTACAGGTTTTTGTATTAGTGAATACTCTTTATAGCTTTATGTCATTAATTAGGAATTTGTTTTAAAAGGGTGATGGCCTATCGTTTTGTGCGTATTACTATCTAGGTTTACAGATATACTGTGTTCTTTCCAGTCAACAACGCAACGCAAATTATGGGATGGACTCGCAGTTGGAGGAGAATTGCCTCAATGGCATACATGTACGAATAAATTGATTATTTTTTAGTACAGAACCTCTATTGGTAATAGCCAATGGTCGAGCCGGTATGCCTGGGATTTTTTCCATTTTAACTTGTTATTATTGTTGGTTTATGTGTATAGTTTAAGCAGATATGCCGTTGAGGGCATTAGTAGCAAATACAATTGTAACATGAAGCTTGTTTTGTTTTATGTACACAAAGACATTAATGGTATGGAACGACGATAATCAGTTTGACTTATGATGTCATTGGTCGATGAAATATTAGGACCAGTTTTATGGTAAATCTAACTAATTTGGACCCATTTTTTGAAATTGTGGACCCATTTCATGCACGTAAACTGAATAATGTGAACCATTTTAAGAATTGGGACCCATTTTACACCTAAAAGTTTACTGTGGACCCATTTCATGCGTATAAAGTCAATACTGTAGACCGTTAAAAAAATATCTACTTTATGAATAAAACTTAATGTGGACCGATTTCATGCGTATAAACTGAATAATGTGGACCATTTTTAAAACTGGGACCAGTTTTATAAGTAAACTAATGTGGACCAACATTTTAAAAGGATGACCCATATGTGAATAAACTTAATAATGTGCTCATGGGCGGTACTAAATAAAATCGGCGGCACTCAGTGGTGCGTTCAACTTGAAAATAATACTTGGAGTCACCTACGCACTTAATGCAAATTAAACACATTTAAACTTTACAATAACTAAAACCGAGAAATCAAAAAATGAACTTAAAATAAATAATACAATAATATATTAAGCATACATTATTTGTGTGTACACATACACTTCTTCATACACAGATATATCCCTCCCCAACCAACCAACTGACCCCTTTTTTTAATTGAACCACATGATATCAGTAGAAATGAAAACAAACAATTCAATTATACTCCAATCTACCCCTCCATCGTCTTATACATTAATTACAGTTCCAGTACATTGCAGTGTAACGATTGTATTTATGAAATAAGTAAATACACAGTAGATAATGAAATTAAGATTAATTGTGGTCTAACTATTTTAAAAATAAATAATACTAATAAATTAATAATGCTAATTAATATTTAAAAGGCAATAATACAAGGTACAATTTAAAATAAATAAGCAATTAAATAAGTTAATAAGTAAAACTATTTAGACAAATGCCTATAATGGATATTTTATTTTTTATTATAATATACAGTAACTATATTCTTTATTCATGTCAGGAAAACTCTTTCTGGTGTAGCAAATGGGTTGAAGGTGTATATAATATAACATTGTGGTACAGTATCGCATAAGACGGCGACTATATTTATCGAAAGGCTGCCGGACACAATGTTGACGCAGTATATTTCAACACAAATACACAGACTCTATTTTCAAAGGTTCAATTGTTAAAATAATATTAAATTATATTGCATTATTATACTAATTGCATGCTGAATCTATTTTATGTAGTGGCGGATTAAAGAAGGTGGGGGGGGGGGGNCAGCTGGGCCGCCTAAATTTTTCAAACTAAAAAAAAGAAAAATGGGAAAAAGGAAAATTATATTTAAATTTATAGTATGAGAGTGTCGTTTCCGGTCATCTAGAGGTGCCATAATCAGAGTCCTTGCACTACATTATTGTGTGTATAAGAGTGTATTGATTAAGAAAATATTCCTCCGATGGCATTAGCAGCAAATAAATTTCGCCACGAACGCCTTTTACCGTCATTTGAAGGACGCCATCTAGAACATGGTAGTACTCTTCGTGATCAACGACATGACCTGGTAGCGATTTTTTTTTCCGTACGAAACATTTGCATGAAACTTCACTCGGGCCATCTCGGATTGACTCGAGTGAGTACGATACGAGGAACAAGAGCAGACGATTCGCAATGTCGTGACGCTCGAGTTTTACTATTATCGTTTATCTATTGATGACATTTTGACCTCCTGAATTCTGCAATGAGATTTTCGGGTCGATTCAGCCGAGACGGCCCGAGTGGAGTTTCATGTAAATGTTTCGTACGGAAAAAAAAATCGCGACCTGGTAACTCAAAGAGTTGCTCATTTTTTAAGTGTTTTTAGTGTAATATGGTAGTAGGCCTATACAGAATATTGTTATGAAAGAATATTGTTCATGAAAAATCCAGATACACTACAATAATACACACATCTGCATATTGAAGAATATAAGATAAAACTAAAAAAAAAAAAAAAAAAAAACTCCTGTAGAAGGCAGTAGGCACACGCCCCAGCTGGGAGCCTATTTTTTCTTATGATGTCTCTCTTCGGTGACGTCTTGCGCCTTCTGTTGTCTACAAACGATTTGACCCACCTCCGTTGGTATGTTTAAATGCGTTGATCCTTTGTCTACTAGCAGTTTGATAGGCATACGTGTATCAATACTCATACGCAGTATAAGTTTTAAATACATCCAGTTCTAAGCACTAGGTCTATAGAGCGAACCACATACGTTCGTAACCATCATCACTATTATCATCACCATCGTAAACATCATTATCATCGTCATTATTATAAGTATTATCATCATCAAATCGTCGTCATCATCATCATCATCGTCATCAACATCATGCATTATCATCATTATTGTTAATACAATTAATAATAATAATAATAATTAATAATAATATTTATTATTATTATTATTGTTTATTATTATTATTTTTATATTATTATTATTATTATTATTATTATTATTATTATTATATATTGCGCGTAATGGATCACAGATCTCTCTACACCAGTCTTAAACTATGGTGGAAAACTATCCCCCGTGGGACACCAACCCTGCATTTCTGATGTCATCATTACATTTTTTTTGTTAATTGAGATTTGACAACAAAGCACTCTTCTTTTACAAACTCGCATTCTCAAGACATAACGTCATGACTTTGAGCTACATAATTTTGAATTCACCACTCTATATAGGCCCACGGCATTAGCGCAATGCAATGACGTAATGAAATAGTTCGGTGACCGTAGAACGAACGATTACGG